ATTACTATTTTTGAAGATTTTCATATTTTCTATTATTTTTAAAAGATTCGTTAATTACGGAATTATTGAAAATAATTATAATAATATCAATATAAAAATTAAATTTAGAAAAAAATTTTATATTTACTATAATTTCTAAAAGTGAAATAAGTAATTGATTGAAATACTATTTGAAATATTATATAAGCAATATAATAAGTAATATTAAAATATTATTATAAGGAAATATTTTTTCTTTGATATCAATATTATTAATAATACATAATTTTCAAATATTATCTTCTTTTTTTAATCTTTTTTGAGAATTTACTTCATTTTTTTGTTGTTTTTCTAGGTATCTTTCATAATGTTAAGTGTATAAAATAATATTAGTTATATATAAAATAGCATAAAATGAGCTTTATAATCTTGACTTTAAATATATAAAATTTATTATATATATAGGCCAGATATTAATTTCTGGAAAAGCAACTATAAGTAGTATTGATATCAAAAATATAAAGATTTTTGTTGCACATATTGGATTAAATTCTTTTAATTCAAGTCCATATTGATTGCATTTTTTCAATAACTTTTTATTTTTTTTGAATAGTTATTAATAAATTATCAAAAAACTCTTTTATAACAGCTGGAAAACTATTATAATATTTTTCTAATAATTTTGAATTCTCAATAATACTTTTATTTATATGAACATATAAATGTAACTTTCATATAATTATTTTTAAAGCTTTTCTGAGTTTTTTTGGTTGTTTTTTTAATAAATTATAATATATTTAAATCTTTTAAAGTTTTTTGATATTGACTTTTTTTAATTAAAATACTATTTTAAATGTAATAAAGCTTGAAAGTTTTGATTGTGATGTTTCTATTTTTTTATTATTATTGTTTATTTTTTTTTAAAAAAATCTAACAAGTATAATATTATTTCTTGTAAAAGCATATTTTAAATAAACTTTTCAAAATTTCCTGAATTTATTGTTCTAAGATATATAATAAGTTAATAGTATCAACATGATATTATCTGAACAAAAAAATTGTATTATGTCTTTTTCTCATCATTGAAAAATATGATTATTTCTTTTTCAAACAAGAAGAACAAATAAATTGAGAACAAGTTTTGTTGATGAATAGTTGAGAAATCTTTTTTTAATTAAATATAAGATATTTTAATAATGTATTACAAGAGATATGAATATTTTGTTCTAAAACTTTCCAAGAGTATTATTAATAATGATTATTTTAGCTAAAAAAGTACTTGTTGTTATTATAGAAAAGGTATTTTCATAAATAAATTAAACTTTTTCTATAGAAATTTAATTTTTTATGTCACACATATGAAGCTGATTTTGATTAAAATTAAAATGACTATTATATACACCAAGAAATTAATATATTTTTAAGTTCTAAACTTAATATGAAATTCACTTTATTGAAATCTAACTTTCAAATTCCTAAGAGTTATTTTAAAAATCAATTGCTTGATTATTACAATGTTATATTTTATAATATCTATAAGAATATATTATTATTTAGTATTATTAATTTTGATAAATTCTTTGTGTTTATTTTATAATTAAAATCATTATCATTATTAATTAATTGTATCCAAATGGAATTATCTTCACTAATAGTATCAATATTGATATCAAAAGCTAGTTAATCTATTTGATTTTCTTTTATTTTAATATTTTATACAAATTCCTTAGTATAATTTAAAGCAAATTTATTGAATTTAAACTTGTAAATTGGATCTTTAGAAGAATTATTGATTGTATTACTTGTAGTACTTGTAGATATTATAGATAAGTCAGATAATTCCTTATAACTATAATTATCATCACTATAATCAAGAATTTCATAGTCTTTATCAAGATCACTATAGCAATAGTCATCAAGTAGATTATCCATTGAATATTAACTATTATTATTATTATTGTATTGGATTGTCATTATTAGTACTTTTGGTTCAAGATTCTTTTCAAATCAATATCTCTATAACTATAAAAAATGTATTAAAATAACTTATACCTTTAAATATTGCAAAGAGAAAAAAACAAAGAAATATTTAGCAAAAGATTTTATTGTACATAAAAATCCTGTTTGTTATATGTTGAAAATTATAAGAATATACATTAACACATCTTTTAGAGGAACATGAGTACATCTATGTAGTCCCCATTCGATTTGGAAAGTCTAATAATCAATACCTCATTTGGGTCATACATACATGTAAATAACATAGAGAGTCGAATGACCACCAAAAAAAAATGTGATATACGTATATTTTTTTAATGATCTGTTTGTTATAATCGATCTGAATCAAGGAATTAAAGTCCACGAAGATAAGTATAAAAGTACTTTTGTTTATAATGCATTTTAAAAACACATTTTCGTCATTCTAAATAATAATATTAACAAAAATGCCTCATATTTCATTAGCAAAATGCTCCCGTATACATACTCTTCACGAAGAAGGCTATTTGATTCAAGAAATTGCCAAGTCAGAACAGGTAACCATGTTCTCTGTCCTGCGAATATATAAAAATAACTGGCTGTTTGAGAAGACTTCCTAAATATCGATATGAACCACTTTCAAATCGCATGAAATAGTATCGAAGTCGATTTCTGTAAACAGTTAGTCGATTCAATGCCAAAAAGAGTTAATAACGTAATACGAGCAAAGGATGACGAGTATACAAAATGTTAATATGTATGAGAATTTTTAACAGCTGCAAATTGCAAAGATAAGATCATTTAATATTTATTGATTGTTATTGTAACAAAGCGACTAGAATGAACATAAAAAATACTAATTTTTATCTAAAAACTTTAGTGAAAAGAAAATATTAAGCATGGGTCATATATTATAAAAATATCGATTTCTATGATCTCTGTTTTTTGATACAATAGTAAGTTTCATTTATTTCAGAGTCAGGAATCACGCATTCATCATACAAAGAAAAATTGAACTTTCTCTTCATTCCCGCGTCCACGATTGCTTCTAAATCAGCATCAGTCATTCAGTTTCGGTCTATTAGATCATATCGATTCCAAACTCTCTGAATTGCTTCAATCCAGCTATCAAAGGTAACATCGCAAACCTTCTCAGGCTCTTTTGTATTCTGAATAGAAGTAATGCGTTGTGGAACTTGTGTTGAATAAAACTTCTGGCATACAGCAAAAATATGTTTGCATGCCATTCTGCGAAGCCTGAAATCTGGGCACATACACTTAAAATGCACTGGTTTTAGGTCATTATTTTTTTGAATATTGTCTTTGATATTTATCTCATAATAACCATCTGTTGATGATTTTACAAGATAATATCAGTTACCAGGCAAATTGAAAACATCTAATTCCAAACCAGCAAGCTCATGGTGTTGCTGTTCCTTTTGTCTAGATTTCATTCTTCCAATCATCAAATGGACTGCTTCGCATTCGAATTGCGCATCCATTATAGCAGCACGCAGGATCCAAATCAAAGTGTCTATTCGATGGTTATATTTGGCTCCCAGGTAAGTATATTTTAATTTTTTATGCCAAGCTTCAATAAAATTTGTTGTGTTCATTTCTTAATGTTCGTATAGGTGATATGCATCGATTCACATTTTACAGTTTCCACGATATTCTCTCTTTATATATTCTACCCAGTTTTTTTCACTGAAGATTGTTCATGAAGTAAGATATTCATCAAATTTACTTTGCACCTGGGATGTATCTCGAATTCTCATAATTATGCCAAGTTCATCCAATGCCACCTTCTGAGTCGCTTGCTTTCCCGATCGTTTAAAAATATTGCTATTATTTTTATTCTTTTCTTGAGCCGCAAAATGATTACTATCAGCTTTAATTTTTCCTTTATTTTTTTGCCAGGCATTCTTTATATGCCACTGACATAACAGAATCGTAGCTCCGGGATATACTGTACGAATTGCATTTTGTTGTGCGTTATCGCAATCTGTAAGAAAGGTATGTGGTTTCCATTCTTGATTTTGGTTTTTAATAGCTTCAAGCCAAAAAATTAATGTATCTCCTACTTTTTTTCTGATATTAAATGTGTAACAGGTACACCTTGTTTGCCTTCATTATCTTATATAAGTAAGGTAAAGAGATGTGTTTTATGTGATGTTGTTCCATGCGTGCCATCTATGCAAACAGTTTTTGTGCTTTTTAATTTTAACATGTTTTTTTGAAATTCGGTTTGGAACCCATACATAAAGCCTAAAGATGAATTCCAGATCAAGTTACTACATGTATAGGATCCATCTTCTTTTGACAAAGTGATCCATTCTTTGATAGATATATTCTCACCATATTCTTCTTTCTTGTTACCTAAGAAAATCACTCCTTTCATCTCATCATTAACAATATTATAAATGTCGATATAGGAAAGATACATATCTCGTCTCTGTATCAAAGTTAAGGAGTCTGAATCTTTATTTTCATGAAATTGATTAACACGTCAGTGAAACATCGATACTATTTGGGAAGGCTGCATTCCATCTTTCACCCTTGCATGGATCCATTTTTTTGCTTGTTGAGAAATACAAAAGTGACGTAAATCTTCATCAGTATCAGGGATATGTCCATTATGACTTGTATAGTGAATGACTTGAACTGAATTTTCCTTCTCATTATGACATTTCAATACTCGTAGGTAAGATTTGCAACCTAATTTTTTTGATGGTTTCTGAATAGGACGAGAATTGCTATAATTAGATAAAGGCCTATTAGCTCGTTTCATTGTGCTGGCTGTTGATTTCGGATTTCTGGAACAATGACAGATATATCTTTCATTTAACACATATTCTGCATTCTCTCAGTTGTCTTTCGAATGTAATTGGCTCCAGAAATATTTGGAAGGATGTTTTTAATCCAATCCTTGTACGTGTTTAGCTCAAGGTGAGTATAAATTTTTATATAATTGTTCATATCTGCTTCTGATTCGTTATTTTCCAAGAGCTCATTATCAAATAAGAGTTCATCATTAAATGAGGATTCGTTGGATAAGAGCTCATCATTAGGTGAATACGGCAAGGGTTCATAATTAGGAGAAGGTTTGTCATTAATTGAGGATTGATAATTAAACGAAGATTCATTATTAAACAAAAATTTATCATTAAATGGAGATTTATAATTAAGCGAAAGTTCAATATTAGGTAAGGGTTTAGATGTAGATGATTTATTAGCACGTTCGATAACTTTATCGGTCAAGTCTATAAATATGCGGTTTGTGAACATATTTATCAAGTGTATTTCAACGATTTAATGATATAGCATTTTTTTATAATAAAAAAGTATCATGTTTATGTCTTATAATTTATCGCATTTATATATTTATTTTATTTTATCACGAACTGTATCGATATGTTCTCCCCTTTTTTATTAAAGATGTTTACGTTAAATTAAATACAAATCATTAATTTCAGTACGTAAAAGGATACATCTAGAAAAAAATCCCTAATAAAAAAGAAAGACATTACTTTTTTCATTGTGACCACAAAAGAAAACAAATCACTGAAGAAAAATGACGAGATTCGAATATCTCGCCATTGAAAACTTATCCGTAACCAGAAGCAAGTGGAACTTATTTTTTGGTGATCCGTCAAATATAACCGAATTTGGAGATAATATATAAAGATAAGTTTCTTCTTAAGGAAAATTTGCAGTTGTTAAAAATTCTCATACGTATTAACATTTTGTATACTCATCATCCTTTGCTCATATTACATCATTAACTCTTTTTGACATTGAATCGACTAACTGTTTACAGAAATTGACTTCGATACTATTTCATGCGATTTAAAAGTGATTCATATCAATATTCAGGAAGTCTTCTCAAGCGGCCAGTTATTTTTGTATACTCGCAGGATGGAGGACATGGTTACCTGTTCCGACTTGGCAATTTCTCGAATCGAATAGCCTTCTTCGTGAAGAGTATGTATACGGGAGCGTTTTGCTAATGAAATATGAGGCATCTTTGTTAATATTATTATTTAGAGTGATGAAAATGTGTTTTTAAAATGCATTATAAACAAAAGTACTTTTATACTTATCTTCGTGGGCTTTAATTCCTTGATCCAAATCGATTATAACAAACAGATCGTTAAAAAAATATATGTATATCACATTTTTTTTTGGTGGTCATTCGACTCTCTATATTATTTACGTGTATGTATGACCCAAATGAGGCATTGATTATCAGACTTTCCAAATCGGGTGGGGGCTACATAGATGTACTCAGAGGAACATATTTGCTAATCGATAAATGCACTTCAGAGTTAAGTTCCTGCCTCAACAAGTAGATACTACTAAAGCATTATTTTCTTGATGTTTTACATCATCTTGAATACATCAGATATTACTTGAATAATTTTCTCTGTTCCTTTTTCTGATGACTATTTTGATCCCAGTCCGTGGCTGAAATTCCAGTCATGTGATTCTGATTGTTAACCAAAGATAAGTTCAGGGTTTGATTTTTAGCTGACTCACATAGAAATTGCTTCTCTTTGTTCCTCTGCCTTATCTCACTGCCCTTCTTTTTCTTATCTTCCCTGTAAAAAAAATAAAAGACAAAAATCCGGTTTTTTAGTTCTGGAAAATCACAAGTTTTGTTAACAAATTTCCGGATTAAAATCTGATAAAAATCTGATTAAAAATCTGGAAACTTTGGGATGTGATATCTCGTGAATCACGGAATCAATCCGGACGAAAATATCACCATTCGATTCGTCTAGTCTTGGTAAATCGAATGGTGGTATTTTCATCCGGATTGGTTCTGTGATTCGCGAGATATCACGTCCCAAAGTTTCCGGATCAATTTTTATTTAAAATTAAAATACTTGCATTATTTCCAAACACACTATCATTAAATTCACCTAGTTTTGGTGAATTTAATGGTAGTAATTTTTACAAATATG